TAATGCTTCACAAAGAAAATACTTTGAATTTGAATTCCCACAATTCTCACTATGAACTTAAATTGTAAAAAAAATCAGTAATGTCTCAAAGTCTATACCTGCACAGCCTTACAGTAGCTGTGATGAGGTTTAGAATTTGGGACTAACTGAAATATATACCCAACAGTGCCTTCATACTTATGTTTTTGTAGCAGTCAAAATATACTACAACAGATTTTAATTATACCAGCAGACATGCATACATTCTGCTTAGTGTTACTGGCAGCCATAGGCCAGATTCCAAACAGCAGGTTTTTGGCATGGCCAGTAGGATTTTTTTTCCTTATTCCATTCTCCTTGACTAGTAGTTCTCTACTTTGGAAAGTCCCCTCAATTACAACACTTATTTTAGACAGTTTTACCTTATTCTTCCACAAGCTCAAAGCAGATAACAAGACACAATTAAATTAGATCACAAAACTAAATAACATTAATTAACACCTGCATTATAAAACAATATTAAAAACAGTGACATCGCTCCCATCAAGTTCTCAAAAAAAAAATACACACAGTTTTGCCACTCGTGCACATTACCACGGTGCTTTATCATTGGCATGAGATCTCCTATTTTGGAAACCAAGCCCAAATGGATCTAGTTACACAGTTCTTCATGGCTATAGTAATTTTTGTAGGCCCAAAGAGTTAACCAAACATTGATTTCAAAGAAGGTAATTATAGTCTTTATAAATTGTCTCTCTTACATCATTAAAGAAAGGATGAGCAACCTGTTTTTTTTACAACTCCTGAATTCTGGGGCATGAACATGTTATGTAGGTCATCATCACCACAGTTCCTTTCAATGAATAAATTCCTCCACATGCAGCAAGGGGCTCTGAGGAATCACGGTGGCCTGAAACAGAGCTTCTGTGGGCTTAGTCCAATATAAATGTGTGGGGCTGTTCCCAAAGATTCAGAAAAGCAGACAGCATGTTGCACCATTCACTCAGGGTGTATTTTACAAAAGGCATTGAAATCTATATGAGTTGAGCAATCAAAAAATTACGTAGACCTGCTAAGGGGGATATAATTCACTTCCACTTACCTATGATACATGTATTGGACCGTGTAACTTGTGCAGTAGCATTTGATGAAACTTGAGGTTGTTTTAAATCTAGTACAGTGTAATCTAATTGACAAGTATATACCTCTTCTCCATTTTAAGACTGTTAAAATCTACAGACTTTCTGTATGCATAAATGCATATTCCTTTGTTTCTTTTTGGTTTAAGATCTAATTGGAAGAAGAGTTCTGGTGAACTTGGCAGCTTGCTCACTACTTTGTGATGTTTTAACTTGTACTAGTAAAAGCTTTACCCTTTATTGGTTTTGGATTTTTTTCCTAATAGAATAACAGAGCTACTTGTAATTTATTACTTAACCTGTGAATTCCATTTACCTAGGGCACTTTAGATAAAATCAAGAAATTACTTCATTTTTCGAAGCCTAAACCTATTGAATTAAAAAAATGCATTTCCTTCCTAAATACTTAATGGACCCATTTAAAACTTATTCATTAGTATGATCACCTTTTAAAATGTTCTACCTCCAAAGGGAGGCAAGTTGACATAGTACAGAAATATGCATAACAAGTGGGAACCCGCAAGGAGATTTGGGGGGTGAGCCATGGGAAGGTGGGTTTTGGGCAGGGAAGGGACCTCAGCAGTGTATAATGCCATAAAGTCCACTCTCCAAATCAGCTATTTTCTCCAGAAGAACTGATCTCTGTCACCCGGAAAACAGTTGTAATTTTGGGTGGTCTCCAGTCCCCCCTGGAAGTTTGAAACCCCAGTTTACATGACAGAAATGGCTGTTGAGGGTAGAGTAAATGGTATTGTAGTCCTCTGAGGTCCCGCCACTCTTCAAACCCTCCCTCCCCACTCTCCATCCTCCAAATCTCTAGGACTTTCCTAACCTGGAGTTGGCAACACTCTTCCCTGCCTCATTCTCTCCTCAACTGTTCACCAACCTGCCTTTTATCTGCCTCTCATCTTCTGCTACAGTTATTATTTATTTACTTCATTTATACACCACCTTTCTTCATCTTTCTTTTATCTGCCTCCCATCTCCCTCCCAGTTTGATATAGTGGTTAGGAGTGCGGAATCTAATCTGGGAGAGGTTTGATTCCCCACTCCCCCACATGCAGCTGCTGGGGGACCTTGGGTAAGCCAAAGTTCGCTCGGTGGTATTCTCTCAAGAGCAGTTCTCAAAGAGCTCTCTCAGCCCCACCTACCTCATAGGATGTCTGTTGTGGGGAGAGGAAGGGAAGGAGACCGTAAGCCACTCTGAGACTCCGAGTGAAGGGTGGAGTATAAATCAAATTTCTTCTTATTCCTCTTCTTCTTTTCTTCTGTTATTATTTATTTGCTTCATTTGTACACTACCTTTCTTCACAGTGGGAACCAAAGCAGCTCATATTATTATTCTCTTTCTCTTTCATCCACACAACAACCTTGTGAGGTAGGTTAGGCTGGAAGTATGTGACGGGTCCATAATCACCCAGTGAACTTCCACAGCAAGATGGGGATCTGAACCTTGTTCTCCCAGACCCTACTCTGGAGCTCTAATCGCTACATCACACCGGCTATCATAGGGTGGCTGCTGTTGAATGGTGGCAAGCAGCCATGCCTAGTTGAGTCATGCAGGTAGAGTGGTATCTAGTCACCCAGAGGTTGCTGCAAGGCCTAGGGTTGCCAACATCCAGGTGGGACCTGGAGATCTCTCAGAATTACAACTGAACTCCAGATACCACAGACCTGGAGATAACGGCTGCTTTAGAAGGTAGACTGTATTGCATAAATCCAGCTGAGGTTTCTCCCCTCCCTAAACTCTGCCTTCCTCAGACTCCACCACAAAATTTCTAGGAGTTTCCCAACCTGGAACTAGCAACCCTTGCCAGGCCTGGTTCCAATGAATTCTCTCTCAAAGTCCAAAAGAGCCATGGAAAGGGCCTTGTCCCCATCCACTACCTTCTGCTGTCAAAACCAAGCCTGGAATACTGTGATTGCCTAGCAACACCCACTGAAAGAATCTGTTGCTTAAAGCTAAATGCACTCCATTTATCATTTGAGAATTTTTAGGTCTCACTTTTTTCTGCAAATCTGGGGCCCTTTTCATATCTGTAGATAAATCTGTCATGCCCATTCACAGTTACAGTCACCGACTTTAAGTATCCTCAGATTTGGCCGTATATAGATACATAAATATAATCCAGCATATAATTTAGGAGTTAATGTACAATATCTTTGAATGAAAACCAGCTACATTTAATATGGTCTGGCTTTTTGAGAAAGGAAACTGAAACATTTACCAGACAGCCTAGCACTAAGGGTGGAGAGGGTAGAGAGCTCAGTGCCCCCAACTGGCATTTCTGTGGTCTTGCCAAGGGAGGAGGGAATGGGGTGAGAGCAAAGCCTGTGAGTGATGTGTGTCTGCATTTATAAAATCCCGAAGCAGACACAGACAACAGAAGGCTCTGAAAGATGGGCATAGTTGCAGTCCCTTGACCATTTGTTTTGCATGCTGAAACAGTCTTATTATTTTTATTATTATTTTTAAATGTATATGCTGCCTCTCGCTGCCAGGTGGTCTAACAATAGCTAACAATATCTAAAATATTAACAGATATCAATTAAAAACATAATACAAATAAAAGGCAAACCACATAAACAGACTCAACTAATGAAAAGCTAAATGGAAAAGCTCTGCTGTGCAGGCCCTGCAGAATTTAGATAAGTCCCACAGGGCCTGCATAATGTCTGACAGCTGGTTCCACCAGGAAGGGCCCACCACAAGGACAGCCCTCATCCTGGTGGATGCCAAGTGAACATCCCGGGGGGGGGGGTAGGCACCACAAGCAGGTTGCGGGTTGAAGTATGCAAATTTTAGGGGGGAACATGTTGGAAAAGGTGATCTGGGACTGTGTCCCTTTCTTCCTTTGATTCCATCTTAGTATATTAGGAATAAAACAGATTAACTAAATTACAGATTAATAAGGATATTTTAATTAAATTTAGAATATTAAATTATTTCTAAAGGGGTTTGTGGTCCTAATGGTATCCTTTTCTGAGCTTTTACTTTGGATGAGTCATTTCCAGTATTACAGCTCAAATGAAGTGCTCACACTTTGTATGTGAAGTGAAATGCTACACTCAACTGCTTTCTCGGTATGGTCCACTATGGTAGTATTTCAGAACCTCTTGAGTTTCCACATATAGACAATTGCTACAGTGGACTGAGGAGGGGTTATAACTCTGTAGTACACAGGAAGTCCTAGGTTCAAACCCCAGCATCTCTAGTTAAAAGGATCAAGTGGTTAAGTAATGTGAAAGACTTCTTCCTGAGACCTTGGAGAGCTGCTGGTAGTCTGAGTAGACTTTGATGGACCAATGGTCTGATTCAGTATATGGCAGCTGTATATTTTCACATGACTTCCCTTAAGTATTCTTCAGTAGTTGTGTGAACTCCAATACGTCTGTGCTATTCTATAGTTTTTAGAGACTAGAGAGTCTGACATAGCAAGGCCATCTCTAAACACCAAGGCTATCTTCTCTCTTTAACTCACTTCCAGTGTAACAGAGATTGGATATTATGCTGTGGGGAACTTGTGGGAATGTTGTGTTAATGGTGTGAGGCACCCATGGACACTGGAAATGTTTTCAATCATTATACAAGGAGCTTGGACAGAGAGAGACTTAGAAGGCATTATAGGATTTGTGACCCATGCTCAACCAACTTCTCATTTTCTGGTTTTCTACATCCATCGATATTCATGAGATTTCCTTAATACAGGAAAGTTTGCAGAATATGGGTCACACTTTTATTAATAAATGATCTGTTACAGTGGCATAAGATCTGTTTTGCTATATTTTTACAAAAGGTGCTGAAGTATGTTTATGGCATGATCTTAAGGGGTCCTCAAGGATGCAAAACTTCATTGGAATATATGTTTTCTGTTTGAACAGATGATACTGTACATGAGTCAGCTGAGCCATCCCGTGGTGAGAATGCAGCACAGACACCAAGGATATCCAGTCGGCTTTTGGCAACCCTACTGTTCCTTCTGGCAATACTTTTGACGTTATAGCACATATTCTAGTAGCCTGTCACAGACAACATCAGGGTCTTGGAACATCAAAGATCCACTTAACTGCTCATCCCAAGAAAGGGACTTGATATTGGTTTTGCAGATGTTCATTTGTTTCCTTCTCCCCACCCCCACCACTTCCCTCTCTGCAACCTGAACGATGAACAGTACCTGAAGAGGAATAGTTAATCCTCTTCCTACTCCCAAACTTTCCTATGGCTTTCCCTGATCCCTTCTAAAATAAAAAGGACTCCAAATGAAAATGCCAAATTTCAATATTGACACTAGTGATTCTTACTTTCCTCTGCAGTCTCTCTTAAGATACCACCTCCGTTAGCTCGCTATATCATCTGTATGTGGACAAGGAAGAATAGTGGCAGATGCAGTCAGTTGTGTGGAAAACCAAGAGGAGTTTTGACTCTCCGATACAATATTTATGGCTCCTCATTCAGATCATCATGCAAGGCACTGTGTCATCATATCAGGACTGGAGGGGAAATATTTAGATAGAGTATAACACCATTTCCTCCAGAAAGGTTTCAATGAATGGGTTTCAAAGAGGGAAGAGACACCATTTTGTATGCAACTGCCTTGAAAAATCTTTTTGACAGTAGAACTTTTGCTCTACAACCGAAGCCCTGTCTTTAGGGAGAAATAAAAAAGTGACTACTGAGGAATGCTAGCAACAAGCAAGTCCAGGTTTAGGAAGCTACACTGGGGTGTGAGTGCCTCTTTTATCTCTAAACGAATTGTGCACACCAGATTATCTTTTTCTTTTGAAACTGATCACCATGGTGCTACAATATTTTTTTCTTCACATGCAAAGAGGCATTTTTTTTCCTTTTTTTCTTTTTTATGAGAATAAAGTGACCTTTTCCAGGGCTGACTCACTAGCCAATAGCCTTGGATACTGCTCTGGGTGATGATACATGCTAAGATGATGGCAGCACTGAACAGAGCAAACCTAGTCAAAGACACTTAATCCCCTGTAATTTTTTCTCCTTTGAAAATTTGGCAAACATTGGAATAAAATGCATTTGGAAAGGGGACAATTGTCATAGAAGGTGGGGTGTGAAAAGAAAAGGGACAGGAGAGAATGTTGAACTCTGGAGTGAAAATTCAGGCATTGGTTTTATATTTCTTTTCATTTCCAACACAAATGAAAAGTAGAGGTGATGTCTTTGTCAGCAGGAGATGAACTAGATGGACTCCCAAAGACCTTTAAATATTTTTTTAAAAATCCACTAGAATAGAAAATGCGTTATTTAGATATACCTTATACTGAAAGTATATATGCTTGTCCTATTTAAAGATATGAAACATTTGACAGTTATACAGGGTGCTGACCTACAGGGTGGGAATTAGGAGTTTAAGCATCAGAGTACTGCAAATATTGCAAGTAGATAAATAGGTACCACTTTGGTGGGAAGGTAACAGCGTTCCGTGCGCCTTGGTGTTTAGTCATGCCAGCCACATGACCACGGAAATGTCTTCGGACAGCGCTGGCTCTTCGGCTTTGAAACAGAGATGAGCACTGCAACCTTAGAGTCGGATTCAACTGGCTTTCAAGCAAAGGAACCTTTACCTTTATAACTATCATTTACCAGGTAGTGCTTTCCTTGTAGGTTTCTGTAGGACTTAATAGCCTGAATTTTGACTTCAAGAAAGAGGGTGAATAAGAGACGCCACGAGAGCTCCTGTTTAGTACTGCTGGCTTTAGCCCTAAAACTGTTGAGAACAAAATATTAGAGCAGTGGGTTAGATTCCACTCCCAGTAGGATTTTGACAAGATGACAAAAGTGTAACTTAATCCTAAATCATGATGCAAATGGACAGCATTTTGTGAATGTCTCTTTGAGAGGAAAGTAGTTTTCTAAAGTTGATGAATTTCAGGATCCAAAACTAGTCGCAAGAGAAAAAGTTATTTTAAGGCGCTCTGGGCTTGCCTGATACCATAAAGTATGGGTTGCATCTGAGAGCAAAGAGATGTCAGATATTGCACACAAACAAAAAAAGTCACAATCCACATTGAAGGATGATCCTACTTTCTTCACAATACAATAAATAAACCTCTAGCCGATAGATATGCTTGATGCCCATACAACCGCTACAAGTGGGAGAACTATAGCGGTAATAACCTTGAAGACAGTGAGCAATGTAAAGATAAGGTTGCATTCCTGTGATTATAGCATATCAGTCACAAACATGAGAAAGTACTCCTTTGATATGCTAACAATGACTGTAGTAGCTTCCCCACGATTTGCAAATAATGAAAGCCTAGACTCACAAACTCACATTGTTTCAAGAGCATGCTTTTTAAAAATAAATTTTCACCACAGTGAATTTGACCTTTTACTTTGGCACAGTGTGATTGCTAATCCAATGAGTAAAAGTGACACTGTTTTACAGTGAAAAGATGAGCTGCTGTGTTGCATAAAACACAAGCCTTGCAGGTAGTAAGTTTACAGGACCTGCACCTTGGATACTAGATGGCATCAGGCAATCTCAATCACATCAAGCAAGAAATGTCTGCAGCTTTGTGAATCTCTCTGGTGTGTGTGTGTGTGTGTGTTGTCTTGAGTCACAAAATTTGAAAAAAGTGTCAGTGTCCCAAGCTTACAACAGCCCTTCTCCCCCCAGTCTGAAGAGAAAAATTCCTCCACCACCACTACAGCGGCCCCCTTCAGCCCTGGCAAGTCTGCCTTGTGTGTCCCACTCCTGATTTGCCACGGGCTTTGCAAAGGAAAGCGGGGAAATAAGGATCAATCTGTTTGGTGGATACTGTGTATCCTTTAATAGACAACAAGGTAACCTTTCGTGTTAGTTTAGAAATATTGTTTTGTACTGTACTTTCTCGGAAGGCAAAGGAAAGACAAGTAAAACAGGAAAAAAATGCTATGTTCTTTAAATTCTGTATTATTCGCAGCCTCTGTTGTATATAGTGTTTGATAATAAAGTATTAATTTGATTCTTATGTCTTTTGTAAGCGAAAAAATAGACTTTAATGATACTAAAAAATAAATTAAAAATACACCCACTGATTATAGGACAGAAGCATCCATCGTGGCTGCTGAGGACTGAATGACAAGTGGCCACAACATGTCAACCATGCAGGACCTCCCCCATTTACCCAGACTCAAGATTTCACAATGTCAGGATTCAGAGCAATGTGGCATTTGACGACCAGTGTTTTGTCCTCAATGTTGATGGTCTGATGTTGGAGCTCTGTGGTATTTAGGGTTAACTTTTCCTTTTGGAGTTGGGTTTTACGTAGTTTATTAGTTCTCGGTTCCTTTGGGATTCAATCTCCGATCCTTGTAAGAATAATTTTCTTTATAATTTTTCTTTTCCAGTACCTTTTTAAAATTTCTTTTAGTCACCTGTTTGTTTCAAAAGAGGCCTTGCCAGCATCTTGTGTGATATGACTTGATTTTCCCACGCCTATAAGCAATGTTTAGAAGTCAGAGGCACATAATTTTCTTTCCTTACAACCACTACAGAGGGAAAGAAATGGTAGCTGGTGAGAGAATGTGTTTTTAACTGATCTCTATTAGTTGCTTTACAAAAGCAGTGGCTGTATCAATTTTGGAAATATGGAAATAATTCATACTGTAGTCAGATTGTGTGTGTTTACCAGTTTTACTTTACCAGTTCCCGGCACTGAATCTGGGTTTTTCCCCCCTTTTCTCTGCCTCAGCCCTGCAAGTTCTCCTTTCTCTCTCTCCCCCCCCCCCTTAAATTTGGAGCAGTGAATGAACAGATCTGTTTCTGATTTGGCATTACCAAGTTTTTCCCATGCATTCACCCCCGAGTTTTTCGGATGTGAGACAAATCTCCCTACAATAGGCGTGCTGCCATTGTCTGTACAGTTTAATAGATGCTGGCATGTTGGAGGTTACCCATGAGTCTACAAAATCCGCTTTCCATACTTACTCTTGACACCCCATTGAAGCCACTCATTGTGTGTCCTTCTGGGTATGAAAGTCCAGCTCAGTGTGGTCCTGTGCTTGTACTGCCCTGCTTTGCAGTTTCTTTGCACTTATTCATTGAGTGCTGTTTTTGAAATGCTTACATTATATGATCCTAACAGAAATTGTAAAAATGAAACAAACCCATAAGATCTGTATTTGTATATACACGTGTCCGTACAATTATATCTGAATAAAAAATTAAAGCTTTTCATCATTTTAATGGATTTTTTTTAGGCTATAGTTTTGTTTGCTGAATAACGCCTTTGTTTCAGGGGCTAGTTATCCACCTTAAATATTTGTGGGAAGTAGAATGCTGCAATGAATACAAGCACTGAGAGGTTCTGTAGTAGTTGGAATGCAGTTTCTGCATGCACTTAATACCTAGAGTTGTCATTATCAGCATCTGGCATGATCTATACTAGGGCTGTTGTAAGTTTCTCTACTCCTACCTCCCACTCCAAGCATCTGCTTAATAATAACTTTTCCTGTGTAGCTGCTTGCACCATCTGCTAGGTGCTGGTGGTAAAAAATGCAGCTTACTGCCTCATAAGCAGCCTTCTGTGTTTCTTCTAGTGAAGAGTCATGTTGGTTATTGTGGATTAGTGTGGTCTAAGAGACTGCAAGCAGGGCAGACAGTGCAGGGTGCTCCTCTCCCCACAGTGCCTTGAAACAAGATTGGTTAGTTTCACAAGTGGTTTTGGCAAAAGCATTTTCTCTCCAGTTCTTCCTTCTGTCCAGCTTTAAATGTTGATCCATTCCTCCCAATTCATGCAGTATAGGTAGGTGAGTCCATCTGCACAATTAAGTGACAAGTGCCCTTGAATTTCCTTTGTTTTACAAACTATTTCAAGATAAAATATTTTAGGTACTTTTTAAATAAAAGTAAAGAGTATGAATGAATGCACAGGGCAGGAAATTGCAAAACGGAGCTGAAGCAATGGTTCCTTCTACATGGTTACAATGAAAGGAACAGTCTCCATTGTGTCACCAGCAATTGTGGCATATTCTTGGTGATCATTAAGGTAGATTGCTGAAAACTTCTACTCAGATCTGACACTGGTGATCTGAGTTTACAAGGTATACAAAAAAAATCACCTGAGAAATAACGTCAGAGGGGGTACATGACACACATGCATTTCAAAATACACGCTTTGATTACACCCATGTTAGCATTTACTCCTTGAAAGCTTTTTATTACATTTAATTGGTTGACAGGGCAGCAAGTACTAATTATAACTTGCTGTGAC